TCTTGGTGATTTTCTTTTGGCCTCTATCCTATTGGGTGTTCGTTCAGCTTGTATGCTTATCTTCTTGTCTTTCATGATGTTATAGTAGTTTTCTTCTAACAACTCTTCCTTTTTATACGTTTTTATTGTGAATTGAGTGATAGTTTACTCGGGAGAACACTGGGTTTACACTCATCCTATTGTATTTCATTTCATTGCAATGATTACAATCTCCTCCATGCATCATCATTCAACAGTATTTGCTTCCATTCCCTCTGTTTTTTATTTGTTTTTGTTTTTTTTTTAATGTACACAAAAACACTCAGGAATATATATATACTCATTTAAAGAACCAAAGAGCACATTCTGCAAGCTTGCCTCCTGGCCACCAGCACACAACCTTTCTCTTTCCATGAGTCTAGAGTCCTCAGCTGCTCTATCTCTCCATGTCCTCATCTCGGCCTCCATCTCTGGTGTCACTGCTTCTTTGGATAGTGTCCCACATTCCGTTCGTGCTCTTCTCTCTTGATGGTCCTAGGGTCCTCTGTTCTGGTATGTAAGATTAACTACTCCCCTCCTTTTGTTTCAAAACTTATACCTTTACATTTGTGACAATTGCAGTTAGTCATGATAACAGTTATTCACTATTGAATCATAAGAATCTTCTCCCCATCTCCTTTCACCATACCCGTCTAGATAAGGTGAAAACTATTCAGTGGGGATTCTACCTTCCCCTGCACACTCTGAAACTAAACTCCCTCTTGACAACTTGTAAACCAGTCACTTCATGGCTTTATAATGCTCCCCCCCCCCCAGCCCCACTTTAGGTAACTCATGTCTAAGTTGCCCATCCCTTTTAACCCTGTGTACAGAGAGGAGGGGAATGATCCTTGATGTGAAGTTTCCAACAACTCTTTGATAGTTTTTTCTGTTCCTGAATTCTGATCAATTGTAAGTTGTTCCTCTTCATGGGGCCCCATATAACTTAGGTTTTCTTTGGATTTTTTCATTCCTTTTTTCTGATTGTTCTTTTAGCATACTAGTATTGAGAGATTTATCTTCAAGCTCACTAATTTGGGCTTCCATTGCTTGGTGTCTAATCCTCTACCCTTTCACTGTATTGTCCAGTTCTGAGATCTTAGTATTAATTTTCTGGATGCCTAATTGCAGGTTTTGTATGGTTTCAAAATTTGCATTTATTTTGTCTATTTGCACTTGGAATGTTTTATTGTGTTCTTGCTTTCCTAGATCTTTCTATTGATCCTTTGAAAGTACCTAATTATCAGTGTTTTGAATTCTTTTTCAGTTAATTCTATTGCCTTTTCTTCCTCAGAAACATTTTTGGCCTCTGCATTTGGTCTTTTGAGCCGTTCGCGCTTGTTTCTTCATGTGAGCTAAAATTGTCATTTCTGGGGCATTTTGGGGTTGTCATAATTGTAAAAACAAACAGTGCAGTTGTTTGAATTGGAGGGGAGAAATCTCTGGGGGCCTCCTGTAATTCAAGGAGCTCACAAGGTGGTTGTGGAAGACATGTTACCAGCATAGTTACTGATGGAGGTCCTATTGGCCTTGGTGTTATCTGTGTTTGAGGCCCTCATTCTGGAAGTCTGCCTAGTCTACCATCTATATAGATAAATCTTAATCCCAGTGAAGTGTAAGAAATAGTTTGAGGCCATTGTTAAGAACTGATTACTGTACAAGTTGCAGAATTAAGGGTTATGTTCCACAGACTCCTGGTGTGGCGCTGTGGGCTAATGCGTCAGACTGCAAAGTTGTTTCAACTACACAAGGTTGGTGGTTCAAGCTCACCAGTTTCTCCTTGGAAACACTATACAGGATCACTGTGGGTTGGAATTGATTCGATGGGACAACAACATGTTTCACTCTGATGACAATTCTGTGTATGCCTTGTTACTAATAAGGAATGATCACTTGTTTTTTTCTTACCATGCTCAATTTAACTTGCATGCTGTCTGAATAGGATATGGCTCTGGGATCTTCCTTGTATACCCATGTATTTTGTTGGTTATATTTAATCAGGCAACTACAATTAAAACAAAACAAAATAAAAAACACCATTGTCCTACCATTGTGTAGAAACTAATGACTTTTTACTGATAAAGCATTTTATGTAAATGCTTTTGAATTTTTTGAGAGATATTTTAGAAAATTTAGTTACTTTTACTAGTTTTTTTTTAAAGTCTTTATTGTGAATTGAGTGTGAAACTTTACAGGGCAGATCATCAGTTTTATATTTAACAAATCATACACCTTGTTTCATTACAATGATTATAATCTCCATGTGCCATCAATTAACAGTACTTCTCTCTATTCATTTTAGCTCTTTAAAAAAAAAAAAAAAAAGAAAAAGCACTCAGGCATATATAATAATTTACACCACCAAAGGGCACGCATTCTGCAAGTCTGCCTCCTGGCCGCCAGCTCTCAGTCCCTCTCTTCCCATGAATCTAGAGTCCTCAGCTGCTCCCTCTCTCCATGTCCCCATCTCTGCCTCCATCTCTGGTTGTTGCATTCTGTGGATAAGGTCCCGCATTCTGCTTGTGCTCTTCTCCCTTGATGGTCCTAGGGTCCTTTGCTTCTGGACTGTAAAATTAACTACTGCCCCGTTTTTTGTTACAAAACTGATTTTACAATTGTGACAATTGCAATTAGTCATGATAGCAATTACTCACTATCTAATCATAAGAATCTTAATCCCCATCTCTTTTTTACCAGACCCATCAAGACAAGATGAAAACTATTCAGTGGGGACTCTATCTTCCCTCACACACTCTTAAAATAAACTTCCTCTTGAAACCTTGTAAGCCAGTCACTTCGAGCCTTTATTGCCACTCATTTTAGGTAGCCAGTGTCTAAGTTCCCCATCCCTATCTACCCTGTGTACAGAGGGGATAGCATAGATATTTGAAGTGAAGACTCCTTCCCTCTCTGTTGGTATTTAGAGTTACCTCCATGAGTATAGGTCAAGTTCATCAAATTGTAGAATTTATACTCGTTTCCTTAATAAATGAATGAATGAATGTCTTCCTCTACTTGAGTTCTGATTATCAAGTCAGATAAACAGTACTTCTCTCAAATGGGTACCCAGATCAAATGGGTACTAGCTGCAAATTTGGGTGTTCTGTGCATCTTCCCTTACTTCATATCAGCTGGATGCTTCACTCTCAGCTCTAGCCCTCTGTGGCTATGTCTTTGTCTGTGGGCTCAAGTGCCCTCAGGTCTCACCACACTTTTGACCAACCAACCCTTCTTCTTCTCTCTCTCATCTCCAGGTCAACAGAAATCTATGGACCGTGGTTGAACTCAGCCCATTTCTTCATTGTTGTCTTTCTCCCTCTTCCACGCACCAGTAGACCAATGTGGTCGTCAGCAAGCTTACATGCCTGCTCATGTGTTCCCTTTGAGTTTCAGTCTTGGGGGGGGGTGGGGGTTGTCCTGAAGGAACTTGATTATTTGCCTTGATGGCTTCCCAGCAAACAGTTTGCTTATTCTTGTAGTAGCCAGTCATCCTGCCATTTTTGTTTTGGGTTTTTCCTGATTATCTTTCTTTGAAGATGTATCTTCTGTCACTCCAGCTGTTCCAGGCTGGTCTGTTTTTCCTTTCTATTGGGAATGTCTCACTTCAGAAGGTTCTGGATGGGGCTCAGGATTCCACCTAAGGTCCTATACACCGCAAGGCTCTGCAAGAGGCCGATCACTGGGCAAGTTACTAGTATCTTTGAATGATTTATGGCAGAGTTATGTCTGGGTTCCTTCCATGTAATCCATGAGGAAGAGGGAGATGTTAATCTCTAGTAAGTGCCAGAGCATCTCTTTCAGCATGCTGACTCTCTTTCCTCTTAACCTATTTTATCTCTTCCTTTTTACACTTGGGGTCTACATGATGGAGCTAAAGAAGATTTATTCTGTATCTTGCTTGAAGTCAGGGGAGCCACCTGTTCTGCATTGCTGTTGGTGTTAAGTGCCATTGAGTTCTGACTAATAGTGACCCTGGATAGGGTTTATGAGGACTGATGGTGAGCTTAACCACCCACTGACCTTTCAGTTCAAACTGACCGTGCAGTACAGCACATAAACCCACAACACTATACCAGGACTCCTTTAGTAGCATTAAAAGTAGCATATAATAAAGATATCTTTCGTTATCTTCTTGCTCCCTAAAAGAATGTATTAAATAGGATATTTACTAAAATGGATGGAGGTTTGTGCTTATTTAACTTTTTTGGAGATAAGTACACTTAAAGGTTTCCCTTTTGTTTTTGGCATAATGAATATTGTTACAGAAAACAAGACAGGACTTGCATTTCATAAAATTCATGATAGACGTTGTCTTAGTTCTGAGGTAGTTATATATACACCCCTACGACTATGTGGGATCTCAGGAAAAGGAGCCTTGGCCTTCTGTAAGTGAACAGGGCTCGGCTGTCAGGAAATTCTGAGATTAGGTGGAAACGGAGATACATGGAGCCTTGATGTGCCGCTGTAGGCACTGGACTGCTAACCACAAGGTCAGCAGCGCAAACCCACCAGCCCCTCTTGGAAGCCCTATACAACGTTGCTTTTAGTTGGAACTGACTCAGTGACATACAACAACAGGATTATATGTACCCATTATGATCTGCCTTATCTATTAGGTAGTCATTAGCCACAGGTGGCTATTTATTTAGAACTAAAAAATAAAAAAAAATGTAAAATTCACTTTAGTTGAAGTATGTGTCCAGTACTCTGTAGCCTTATGCTGCCACGTTGGGCAGTGCCAATATAGGCCCTTCCATCACTGGAGAAAGTTATATTGGACAGTACTGTAGTAGACTGGACATTTATAAAAGGGAAAGAAGCAATGAAAGAGTAAGATACTAAAGACCTGATTTCTACCCTTTGTTCCACAACACAACTTTCCCTGTGTTCTCGTACTCAAGTAAAGTACAGAAAGCATCATTTTGAGTATCATCTATTTGACCTTGTTTCTGTTGTTTTTAACACTTACTTCTTTTTCTCAGGCTGGCAGTGATGGTGAAAGCATAGGAAACTGCCCTTTTTCCCAGAGGCTCTTCATGATTCTTTGGCTCAAAGGAGTTGTGTTTAGTGTCACAACTGTTGACCTGAAAAGGTAAGACATGTTTGCAGTTTGTGATAGACTTAAGTTGAAAGTATATACTGTACTGTCTTTTCAGTTTGATCTGCTCCCTGTCCCACCTTTCAGATACATTAAAGTTCAGCTGATTATGGAAAAGTTTAATTTTGCTGAAGAACAGTTAAAAAAAACAAAACAAACAAAAATAGTACAGTGACAAGTAATTGCCCAAAACCCAAGCTGGTCTTTAGAAGAGGATGTGGAACAAGGGATATTATTGCTGATAGATCTTGACTGAAAGCACAGAGTCCTAGGAAGATGTGTACCTGTGTTTTATTGACTGTGCAAAGGCAATCAATTGTGTGGATCATAACAAATGCTGAATAACATTGCAAAGAAAGGGAATTCCAGGACACTTCACCGTGCTCATGCCGATCACTACACATAGACCAGGGAAAACATGTGGATTGAAATCATAAAAGGCGTGCATCAAGATTATCTTTTCACCCTTCTTATTTGATATGTATACAGTGCAAATAATCCAAGAAGGTGGGTTATAGGAAGAAGAATGTGTTACCAGAATCAGAGCAAGACTGATTAACAGCCTGCAATACACAGACGACACAATCTTGCTTGTTGAAAGTGAAGAGGACTTGAAACACTTATTAATTAATATTGAGCATTACAGCCTTTAATATGGATTTGTACCTCAATGTAAAGGAAAACAAAAAGCCTCACAATTGGGCTAGTAAGCAGCATTATGATCAGTGGAGAAAGGATTGAAGGAGTTAAGGATTTAATTTTATTTTGATTCACAATCCCTGTCCATGAAAACAACAGCTAAGAAATTAAATGATGTGCTGCATTGGGCAACTCTGCTGTAAAATAACACTTAGAAGACTAAGGTGCACCTGACCCAAGCCATGGTATTTTCAATTGTCTTATTTGCATGCAAATACTGAATTTATGAGTTTGAATTATGGTGTTGATGAAGGTAAATATACCTTGGACTGCCAGAAGAATTTACAAATCTATCTTGGAAGAAGTAGGAAAGAACTTCAAAAACTTCTTGGAGAAATTCCATTATCTTTTAATTCCGTTTTTCCTTGAACTTGAAGTCTCCTGGTATAGCCAGGGAGCCCTGGTGTGGTACTGTAGGATAAGCACTGGACTGCTAACTGCAAGGTCAGTATTTCAAACCTACCAGCCGATTCTTGGAAACCTTATAGAGGGTTGCTATAAGTCGGAATGATTGGAAGGCACTTAAATAACAGCGGCCAGAATGTTCCTTAGAAGGGAGGATAGAAAGATGACTTCTCATGTTCTTTGGGAGTGTTATCAGGAGGGACCAGCTCATGGAAAAAGACATCTTGCTTGTGAAAGTAGAGGGTCAGCAAGAAAGAGGAAGACTTTCAACAAGATTGACAACAGTGGTTGCAACGGTGGGCTCAAATGTTAGCAATGATTCTGAAGACGGTACAGGACCAGGCAGTGTTGCTATGAATTGGAACTGACTGAACAGCACCTAACAAGTACTGTGGATAATTCACAATGGCAGTGAGTAGTCTTGTGGCCACTCAAGTCTTTTTAGGAACTTCTTATGTGTTTAATTTTGTGTGTTTACATTTCTTGTATTTTTACCTTAAATTTACCAGAGTAGTACCAGGAGCTAAAATTTAACATTAACCCAAAGAACTCTTTGAACTTTCCATTATGAACATGGAGCTGGGAAGTACTTCCTAAGTAGATAACATGTGATCTATGTAATCTAGATCATTAGAGATAAGAATGTGATTTTAGGAGACTCAATACCATCGATGCCTGTTTCATTCAATCTGCTTTTCAGGGATTTCCTTGAGTTTTCTGTGACATGATTTTAATCATATTTGGTTAAATGTTAGAGTAAAACAAGAGCAAGTATCCACTGCTCTGTGAGAGATCTTGTAGGTGGAAGAGTTGTTTCTAGCTTTCCCTTCATAGTGGGAAGTGCTGAGAAGAGCAAACACGTCTAAGGTGAAGAACATTTATACTTAAATAAAACAAGTTAAGGAGTCACAATTACTGTATGGTCCTTGGATGGTGCAAATGGTTTATTAGTTGTTGAATGGTTTGCAGTTTGAACCCACCTAGAGGCACCTGGTAAAGAGCTCTGGTAGCGTAGTGGTTATGAGTCGGGCTGCCATCCTCAAGGTCAGCAGTTCGAAACTACCAGCTGTTTTACGGGAGAAAGATGAGGCTTTCTGTTCCTGTAAAGATTTATAGCCTTGGAAACCGTGTGCAGGGTCACTATGAGTTGGAACTGACTCCACGGTACTTAACAACAACAACAAGAGGCACCTGGTGTGGCACTGTGGGATAAGCACTAGAGTACTAGGTCTGTTTGAACCACAAGATTGGTGGTTCAAACTCAACCAGCCGCTTCTTGGAAACCCTTTATAGGGTTGCTATGAGTCGAAATGGACTCTATGGCACTTAACAACAACAAAGAGGCACCATAGAAGAAAAACCTGATGATCTGCTTCCACAGTGATTAACAGCCAAGAAAACCTATGGCTCTCAGTTGTACTCTATTTTAAGAATGATGTGGGGCAGGTTTGACCTCCTCTAACTTCACAAACGGGGAGGAGAATCAAGATAAACAGACCAAGGCTGAGTCTTCGAGGTAGAGATCAAACATACCTCTTCTCTCCAGCTCTTTATCAATTCTGATACCAACCCTCCCTCCCATGGCAATCTCTACTTCCCTGCTGGGGTCCAGAATGTATTGTTACAGTCACACGATCTCACAGACACTACTCATAATTGTGGGGTTATTAGGGAAGTCACAGGTTACAAATTGGGATCAGGATCAACTGGGAAGTAATAGGAACATCTCAGGATGCAGTTGCTCAGATCAGGTCAGCATCTACTGAGCTGTGCCGGTAGACAGATCTCACTCTGACCCTTGACGTCTTGGCTTCTGCCCTGCTTGGGTAAGTGCGATTTTTTGATTAAGTGCCCAGAGGTTGGTGCCCAGAAAGCCTCCTGTCCCAAGGCGTTCAGCTTTCTTGCTCCATGGCTTGGAAGTCCACTGTGCCATCTCCTGCAGGTCTCCTGACTCTGGTGTGCAGGGATCCTGGCCCAAAGGATGCACTGTGCTCTTGCTTCGTTTTGTTTCTGGAATGGCTCAATTTAGCCTAGTGGGTCGTCAAAACTGAACAATGTCCTAATTAGGGTTTCAAGTACCTTATTTACATTAAAAGTACCATGGACTGCCAGAAGAACAAACAAATCTGTGTTGAAAGAAGTACAGCCAAAATGCTCTTTAAAAGTCAGGATGGCAAGACTTTGTCTCATACTTCGGACATACTATCAGGAGGAACCAGTCCCTGGAGAAGGGCATCATGTTTGGTAAAGTGAGGAGGCTTTGAAAAACAGGAAGAGACCCTCAGTGAGATTACCAATGAGATTTACTGACACAGTGGCAACAGTGGGCTCAAGTGTTACAAAGATTTGTGAGGATGGCACAGGATCGGGCAGTGTTTCATTCTGTTGTGCATAGGATCGCTTTGAGTCAGAACCACCTTCATAGCACCTAACAACAATAGCAACAACACCTGTGCAGTGGTGTCATGCACCTTATTTATATTATTAGCATGCTATGCAATCTCCTTGGTGGGCCACAAGCACCTTGTTTGCATAGTGCCACCTCATCATTTGGTGGGAGTACAAAGATGATAACTGAAAGGGCTGTATTAAGTATTGACTGCATCACCGGGCCTCACCATGAGTCAGAATCAGTTCGACAGCAGTTGCTTTGATTTTTAGTTATTTGCTACCAAAGAACATCTAGGATTTGGCAGTAGGAATGTGTTATACTTGGCATTCTGCCACAACATGGTTTTACGGTTTAACTTTTAAATACATAAAGTTATGAATTGGGAGCGCAGTGGCTCTAGACGATAAGCACTGGACTGCGAACCACAAGTTGGCGTTCAAGCCCACCAGCTGCGAGAAAGATGAGGCTTTCTGCTCCCGCAAAGATTTACAGCCTTGGAAACCCTATGCAGGGTCACTATGAGTTGGAACCAACTTGACAACACTTAACAACAATAACAAAGTCATGAATAGTGTTCAAGAGAAAATACTGATAAGCCAGCAGCTAATTGGTGACAAAATTCTTGTTTGTTATCTCTCTGTGGTCAGCACATACCAAGAGTTACAGGTGGTCATACTCTGGGGTCTCGATCAGTTCCTTAAGATTTGTTCTTTACTTAACTGCCAGTGCCACATATTTGTGATTCTGTAAACTTGAAAACCTTTATTTATTGAAAATGATACTTATGAATATAAGATAAACTTTTGGGGATAGTAAGAGTTAAAGTTGTAGGCTCTTGGAAAGACATTAACTGGTTCATGTTGGGCAGAACTGTAGTATGAATGAAACAATTCATGGAATTACCATTCTGTTACTTACTGTTTTTTTCCTACATGTATTCACAAAGGAAGTTTCCCCAACATAACTGCTAAAAATAGACTGTGCATTCAGACACACACCCTAACTGTGCCCTAAAATACATGGATTTCTCCTGTGCCCATTTTTGGCTTGGAGCAAGTGAGCTGAGTGCCATGCTTTGAAAAAGCCTTCTTTGAACAGCTTACTACAGTGCTTGATTGTGGTACATACCAGTAATAGTGCCGTAAATAATGTGATTCTGTGGTTCAGAAAAGAAAGGGAACCCACTAGGGTTATTTCAGAGTGGTCTGTTTTTACTTTCCAAAGTAGGTATGAAATATCCATACCCATATTTAGAAAATGTTGCCATGCAAAGAAGATACATGCTTATTTTCTAGGGTTTTAAGTAAAACCAACACTTTAAAAAGCAATTATAATTGGAGGCTGTTTTCTTAAGGGGAGAAAAATTTTAGGTCACCAGTCTTAAAAAATTGATACTGAAGGAGGAAGTCTAAGGTGTATTGAAGGAATTGGCAAAAAACAAGGCACCAGGAATTGATGGAATAAAAATTGAAATCTTTCAAGAAAGTGAGATGGCACA